TCCTCTGCCTCAGCCTCCCAAGCCACTGCGATTACAGGTGTGCACCACTGAGTCTGGCAATAGATCCACTTTTTAAATAGACACCTTTTCTTCTCTAAGAGATTTTGCATTAGCCTGTGCACGATGCCAATTAACTAGAACACTTAGATGTTACAGCTATGTGTAGTTTATAAATAACTAATTTGTAAAGTACTCTGAAAATAGAAAGTGCTAAGCAAGTACTCAGAATTATTATATATTAAAAGCCTTTGGTATGCAATCATTATTTAATAATTGGCTTTTTAAAAGGCATAGTACTTTAGTTGGTCAGAATTTCTGATCTTGAATTATTAATAATACATCAGCCTATTTCAAGTGAAATGCTATTAGAAGGCAAATCAGATACTGATCAAGTGATTTTTTTGTTTGTATAAATAAATGTTTCATGTCAACCTTTCTCACCCTGTCTTAGACCAACTTAGTCTTTCCCTGGTCCCTACAGACTTTATGCAATGATCCCTTCCATGGGTCTGGGCCTCTCTTGGTTATCCTATCTACCCTGCACTCAGTTTCTATTTTCTCCCATCTGCCTTCTGAATGTGTTTTAAATGAACTTGTTATGGTTAACCTAAACAGATTCAAGATTGCATGTCACATGACTAATGATAATAAACTCTTTATGCACAATGAAGTAATGAGATGTGGTGGTGGTCACCAGCGGGTCCATTTCCCATGTGTGCTAATTACTTCAGCCTACTGTCATCTTTCTATACCTCTATGTCCACTAATTGAACTTTGTTTTCATCTCCTGACAGTTCTTGGATTCAGTATTAAACTCCATGTAAATAATCCTACTTACTATGCTTATAAGTCTACCCATAGGCAAAAAACTTTTTGTTCCTTCTCCACTACCCCTTTTGGGCTTCCTTACATCTGCAGATGTTAATTCCCTTACACTGACCCTGGGTTTCTGGAATCTCTGTCACCCTAAGAGAATATTTTCTATATTTGTCCCATGACTTTGATCTTTCCTCATCCCTACTCTCACTTAAACAGACTTCTCGAATGCCTTGTGTACTTATTGGAAAACTCAAACTAAGCCATTTCTCTACATAGTGAGTGTTAACGTTTACTTTTTTGCACATACCAGATAAGTGCTCTACCATTAAGTCATGTCCCCAGCCCACTTTTACCCTTTTAGACACTAAATGCTACTACCAAACTAATGCTACTCTCAGCCCTGTAACCTACGTGCCAACTCCAAATGACATTTCTTGGTGCTTCTCTGACTCATTCAGTATCACTCTCCTGTTTTGAAAGTCTTGGCTTTCACAACTCGACTTTTGGCAGACTTTCCTGCTATCTCACCAATCAACTCTTTGTTTAGTCACAATTTAATACTGAGGTTACCTAGGGCTTGGTCTTGCTCTCACTTCTTTGCTACTCTCAGATTTTTTGAAGATTTACATCTCTTTATGGTGAAGACTCAAGTTTATCTCCAGCTTAGATAACTCATATATGCTGCCTACAATGTTCAAAGTGGAACTTTTCTACCTTTCATCCCACTTAAGTTCCCCCATTTTATTAATTATACCACAAACATAGACAGGAATCATCTTTCTGTTTCCTCACCTTCCAGACCCAATTCCCGAGGTCCACCAATTCAGTTACAAAATATCATCTCAAATCCACCCTTTTTCTCATTATTAGCTTATCACTTCCCAGGCCACTTCAACTCTTTAGTTTGTCTCTCTGGCTTTATTCTGGCTTCCCTATAATACATTCTCCTAGTTGTATGTAATTAAAGTAATCAAGATGTCATTCCTACTGTACTTAAAATTCAACCTCCTTACCATGCTAGCTCTTCCTCCCTCTGAATCAAAAGGACAGGTCCTTCTCTTCCTTGCCTACTATGTTACAGATGTGCAAATCTTGTTGTTTTTTTTTTAATATTTTTAAGTTTGTCAATGGTCATTTATTTTTATGTGGTGCTAAGAATCAAACCCAGTGCCTCATACATGCTAGGCAAGCACTCTGCCAATAAGTCACAACCCTAGCCCACGAGCAAATCTTTTTCCAATACCTTAATTCCTCAAACCAATTTTCTACTTCAGGACCTTCATACATTATTCCTCTGGAATGCATTTTCTCTCTACAGTGCACAGCTAACTCCTTCTCTTTCTATAACCCTGGGGAGACCTTCCTTGACTTCTGTACCTAAAGTAGATTACTCTCGTGTTTTTATCTTGACCCTATATTTGTTTCTTTAACAAAAATACAACTTTATTTCTTTAATGTTGTCCTTATAATGCATGCTCTATGAGAACAGGAACCTTTGTGCCTCATCCACTAGTCTATTCTCAAGGCCTTGTACAAACCAGGTACTCAGTAAATATAGAAATCTTTAGAAATGGGCTCAGTGTAGGAAATGTAGACTCTGTGGCAGTCCAGAAGAGGTCAATGTGATTGACTGAAAGGTTACCTACCATAAGTACTTACATAGACTCATCCAGTGTTTTACCAAGTAAACTGATAAAGATTAGGAAAGACAAAGTGTTAACAAAAGCACACAGAAGTTCCCAAAGTAGGCTGGGGAGGCTGACAATAATCAAATTTTGGCTTAGAGTATGGTGGAACTGTTCCAATAAGAGAGAACGGCAGCATCAAAATCCAAAGCACAGGGCTCTGAAGGGTGAGGAAATCCTTGGGTTTAAGGCTTGACAGATATGTAGGGTGAATTGAGAGGCAAGTTGGGTAGGATAGTTATGAGACACAAGTTGAAGAGGTAGATATGATGGCTCTTAGATGTGATATGATTAATATTTCAAGTTTTCCAAAAAAGCCACTTCCACCCAACATAGAATTTTCCTTCTCCTCACCCTTATTTTTATTCCAACAGTGTGTCTTCTATGTGACCCTGGGCTATACTTACACACCTATTGGTCATCCCAGTTTTATCCTGTAAAACAATCAAAATATCTTGGCTTACTCAGGTCATGACTAAATATTTTATTATTGTCCTGCAAATCAAGAAGTAAATTGGTATCTATCCTATAAATACTATAAAGATGGAACTTGATACCAACTAAACTCTTATGCAAAACCAGAATTCTCACAATTCCCTCAAATTCCCCACTTTTACTCAACCTACCAACCAAAGAATGCAATTCTTATCACTTACAAATCTAGTAAGAAGCCAAGTTCCCTTTCCAATCTTCTTTCCTCCTTTTATAAACCAACTAGTCTACTGGGTCATGTTCTACTGCACCTACCACCCTTCCCTAACCACCCCAACCAGGCAGGAATGAATATTCCTTTTAATTCTTATGATCAAAATCCTTGTCTAGGGCCCTGATTTTCTCAGTTTTCTCACTTTCATTGTTGGTTCAATTAAGAAAGGTGTGTGTGGGTCATTCTTGAGGATCATTTGGCTGTAAGGAAGAGAAACCAGTCGAATTAGTTTAAATAAAAGAGGGAATTTATTAGGTGAATACACAGGTTCTTGTAGGGATTCCAACAGCTGTATCCCACACCTGAAGGATAAAGCATGCTATAACCACAAACTTCTAATTCTGGATTCTGCACAATCATGAAGAGAATTTCCTAGAGGATAGTCCTCCTTGTATCCTGAATAAGGGACTAGAATGTGGATTCATTTCTGCTTGCTTTTTGATCCTTATAGTCCTTTATGCTGGCCTCAAACTTGTCAAGCACATGTTGGCAGACATTCATGAGCTCATTCAGACCTCGTTGAAATGGCTCTACAGCTGGAAGAGCACCTCGAGTCTGAATGCGCAAATTAATTTTGCTCTCAGAAGGATGGGTCGTAGTGTAACCACAAAACTCCACTTCCGGATTCTTCATGATCATATAACGCAGAGAATTTCCTAGGGTATGGTCTTCCTCGTGCAATACAAAAGTCACACAGTGTCTATCTGTTCCAGCAGCCTGGACCATTTCCAAGGCTGTCTTCCTCTCGCCTTCAGCCATTGAGGTCTTCAATCCAGATATTTTTCTACACACATATTTTTTATAAAAATGAGATCATTCCGAATACTGTTTTGCGACTAGCGTTTTTCCATACTATACTGCAATTGCAACACATTAAACTACTACAATTACATAGAACTTTCTCATTTTCCTGCTTCCACTTCTATCCGTAAATATTTAACTTATTGCCTCCAGTTTCTCTCTACTCCATCTGATCATACACACTGATCACAAGGAGAGTTTTCTCAGAAAAACACAAAAACTTAAAGCTTTGCCAAAAAAAAAAAAAAAAAAAAAGAAGAAGAAGAAGAAACAGAAAAAGGTTTTGGTAGCCACGAGAGGTATAGGATTAGAATAGGGTGCAGAAGAAGAAGAGGAAGAAGAAACAGAAAAAGGTTTTGGTAGCTAGGAGAGGTATAGGATTAGAATAGGGTGGGCCCCGCAGAAGATGAAAAGGAATTGAAAAGCTAGAAAAACAGACTGCTTTAGTATAAAAATAAAAACGGCAGATTATCAATGTGCAAGCTCCACTATGGCTTCCATTAGCAAGAGGTTAAGGAAACTAGGAAGTGGAAGGTGTAATATAGATCTAGCAGTAGAGAGAAAAAGAACTCAGCATTTAGGGAGTCTTTATAAGCAGTCTGCACAGAAAGGAACGTGAGCGGTAGTTACGGGGACTCAGGCCTGACTCAACACCGCGGCTCGATCACTCGGGAACCGCGGCCTGGCGGCTGACTTTACACCAATAGGGGAGGGCGGTTTGGGACGTAACTTTGGTCTCCCAATGGGGCGTCCCCCCTGATAGCTACTACACGGGACGTTTTTACGTAAATATATCCACATCTCTTCCCCCTCTTCCCAATCGGACCCCGCTCTGCTCTCTTTTCCTCTTTTCAGCGCCCGGAAATATTGTGTCGCCAGGCCTGGCCGCGATGGCTGGGCCCGGGCCGGGCCGCGTGCCCCTCAGCCACCCGCTTCCCTCGCCGAGCGAGGCCCGCCCGCCCCGCTCCGCCCGCCTCCTCGGCCGTTACCTCTCCAGCTCCTGGTCCTCTTCCATCGCTGGTGCGGTTTCCGGGATCCTCAGGTGGTGCTGGCGGAACGGAGGCTCTGCCCCATATCGCGAAACGTGAGGCGAAGCAGGAAGGAAGAAAGGACGGACGGAAGGAGCCCAGGACGCAAGGAGTGGGGAGGAGCCGCAGCGGCGCGCCGGCACCCAGCCACTGGGCGTGGCGTAGAGGCTCCGCCCCCAGGGCCCCGCCTTCGGAAGGAGGAAGGCGCGCGGCAGAGTCGCTCACCTGGCGCTCCCGCTGTTAGGGCACCCGCTCGGGGTCGGGCACCGGCCTTACCCCGAGGCCCAAACAGGCCTATGGGAATCTGAGCTCTGCCTTTGGAACCTTACCCACGTGGTGGCAAAGGGGGCGGGTCTCACCTACCGTCCCAAATCACCTTCCTTCTTAGGGCGGCAGTCGGGCCTCTCTCTGAGTTGCTACTAGACTAGCCCTTCCCGGACCCCAGTCTTCACGGGCCTTGCGTGGGACTGCAGGCTTAGACTATAGTTAATCCGCCTAGAAAAAGGAGGGGGCTAATTTGCGTAGAGATGAATTTAATAACAATACTACGGTGTAGGACGGTATTTATCTCACTGGGTTTCTTTACAGCTGCACACTTCAACTAGATCAAAGAACAAGCGTTTGCCTTTTTTTCTTGAGGACGAGTGAGGAAACTCCTCGTCAACCTTCTCCCCTAGGATCCACTCTTCCTTTGGAGTACGTCCTTCCCCGCTACTACCTTCCCTTTTCTTTCACCCTTTGGGCTGTTTAAACCTCCTCACTGGCGGAACCTCCCGCTCACCTTTGTTCCCAGGTGCCCCAGCCCCCGCCTTTCACCACCAGACATACTCTCCACCCTTCTTACTTCATATCTCCTCTCTCTGTTCCTTCAGGTGCTCTTCCTCGCAGATCAGTCCTTCTCACTCCCCTGCACCCTCCAGACCCCAGCCAGTCCCCCAGCTGTCCTCTCGCCCAACACACCTACATTTCTGCTTTCTTGCACCACTTGTTTTCCACCCCCGCCCCACCCCCTACTCGAGTAGCCCTAGACGTTCCCTCCCTCCCCAGATGTTCGACTCTTCTAGCCGCGGTCGGGGGTGCGCGCAGATATTTCTCCAGCGTCTTCTGCAGGGGAATCAGGCGAGCGGCGGGGACAGCCCAGAGCGGGTGGGGGAGGGCGGGCGACGAGAGGCGGAGTGGGTTCACTCTAACCTGGGAGTGACGACCCGTTCTAACCCGCCCCCTGAGCTCTGGGATAGGTGGAACTACTCTCTGGCCCGCCCACTCCCGCCCCGCGCCGCGACCGATTGGCCCAGGTGCGTGTCGGGTTGGGCTGCTGGGCCCTGGCGCTTGCCCCCGGGAAGGCAGCAGGGGCGGTTGAGAAGTGAAGTCTTGGCCAGAGTTTTCTTCTTGCCAGGAAATCCGCGGCGGCAGCGGCAGCGGCGGCAGCGGCGGCGGCGAGTCCCGGCAGAGAGGAGCCCAGCTGGCTCCTGGCTCTCCCTCAGCGGGCCGCGGAGAGCGGGAGCTGGCCCTGGGCTACGGCGCTGGAAGCCGGTGTAAGCCCCAGGCAGCCGCGCTTTCCCAGTGAGTAACTTTGCCCTGGCTGCCTCGCTCCGCGCCCTCTCGCCGGCTCCGGGCTGCCGCCTCAGGTGCGGGCGTCGGCGGGGTGTGGGGCTGCGCCGCGCCCCGGGAGGCGGCCGGAGCGGCGCCGCGGCCCGCCCCGGAGCCGCCGACCTCCGCCGCTTCCCTCGCTAACTCGGGCTGCGGGGACAGCGTGGAGCCGGGAGCGGGAGCGGGGCTGGCAGAGATGGTGCCCTGTGCCTGGTATCGCCGCGGGGTAGGCGCGTGGTAGGCGGGCGGCCCCCAGCTGTTAGCATGTGGTGGTTGCGGCCACCGTGGTGCAGATCTTTGCGTCGTTTGCTTTTTAAGGAAGGGTAGAGGAGTGGATGAGTTTTAAAAATTTTTTTTTGTGTGTGCATTGTCGAGAATGAGTGGCATTAGCCACCCTTCCGCTGGATTTTGTTCTTGTGTGAGGGTATGGGGAGAGATCATTCTCTCGCCCCAGCCTGTTGCCTGTGAATTGTCACCTTTCCCTTTAGGCTGGAGAGAATGGAAGACAGATTTGACATCTTCCAGGGTGTAATTTGAAAATACGGATCTTGATTTGGAAGCAGTTGCATACAAAGCATCGCTTAGGAAACACCCCCCCCCCCCACCCCACTAGCTTTTCAAAGCTTTATGCCACGTTTTAGATAAGTTTTGACTTATATAGTGTTTCTTGTAGTATTTCAGTTTACATTAAAGGTTGTGATCCAGATATTTGTATCTGGCAGATACTGAAGTACACTCGTGCATGGGCTTCATCGTATAGAATTTTCTTTTTAAAATCACAGAAATGAAAAAACGAAGGTGGGTGAAAAGCTGTGGCAGTGCAGGAGAAACATTTGTAAGCTCCGGTTTATTAATTGCCTTCACTTTAAGAATTTCCCATTCTTGTAGCAACAGTACTTACTTGGAAATTGGCCCTGTTGTCAAGACAGATTTTGATTTTTCTCTTGCATGTATTGTGACACAACACTGATGAAGTTGGATCTGAGATCAATTCTATCTACTTTGATAAATTTGATTTCCACCCTCATACTCCTCTGGAAAAAGGACTTTGGCAGGTAAAGAAAGAAGAGGGGAGGGATCTAGTATCCTGTTTGGCCTGTCAAAGCTTTGTTGAGCCAGGAATAACAAAGTTGTGCCTTTTAAGCTTGTTCAAGAACCACATGTGTGAGTTTTCCCATAGGGGTAGAATGTAGGCCAAGTTCGAACCACAGTAGAATAACATTGCTTTTAATTCAGCGTACTTGTGTGTTAACTTCTTAATTTGTGCCTTGTTCTTCTGCTCTTTTCATTAAATTTGAAATTTTCGTTGTTTATTCATTTAGCTATTCATAAAGTGCCTAATGCATGCCAGGCATTAATGGCAGAGGTCAGTTCTTACTCAGAGTTGCTCAGTCTCTTATGGAAGCTGATCCATACCTTTGTTCTACTAATTAATTTACCTGACAGTAATTTGAACAAAGTGCTGTGGCAACTTAAGAATCTTTTTGCCTGGAGTTTGTTAGAGAGGCCTCACATAGGCACTTTTCAAAATTGGTGTTGGACTTTGCCATATATATTCTAAACACATATATCTTTGGCATGTTGGATTATGAGATCTGCATATGGGTAGTCCAGCTGGAGAATACAATGTTTGTGGTTGAAGTAGGATTCAGGAGCTGGTGTGTTATTCATTTCAAAGCACTTAGCACTTTGCCTTGCCTGCACTAGGCACTCAAATATTTATTTATTAAGCTGTCCTGAGCAGAAAACTGAAAGATTTTGTGTACCATATTAAGAAATTTGGACTTTATCTGGTCAGTGATATAGAGCACCAGTTTTAAGCAGGAGAATGTCATGACAACATTTGTATTCCAAAAAGATATCTGTAGCAGTCTGAAGGATGATGAGGGTCCAGATGGGAGGTAAAGACAAAGGAAATTGTCACAATGTAGGTGATAAGTGCTCAAAATTTTCAATTCATATTATCCAGATTTGAATCAGGCTCTGTCAGTCTCCGGTTAACTACTTCCTTCCTTAGGTTCTTCTTCTCTTAGGGTTTGGGGAGTGAAAGTTGGGGAAAAATATGTATTACTTAATAGTACTTGGTAGGTAGTAAGGACTTAGTTCTCATTCCATGAGAAGGCATTGATAAAAAGAGATGATGTGGCATTTAGGAGACTAGACTCTGTAAGTGACTAGAAAGGATTAATGAGAAAAAGATGATTCCTAGGTTTTTTGCCTTGGGGCACAGGCATATTCTGGTTTAGCTGGCTGTGGAGTCAGAACAGAGGTCAAATTCTAATTTCATCATTTACCCTTAGAATTACTATCCCAGCTGAGTTTTGACTTCCTAACATTTAGGAAATGATCATAGTACCTGTTTAGTAGGGTTTGAGGATCAAGTGAAATTATGCACTTAATAACCTTGGCACAATACTTGGTACATTCCAACTGCTCAATAAATATTAGTTGTTCCTTTAGTGATGATGGCATTAGTGAGCTACTGGATTGTTGGAGGCTGTGAGAAGGACGGTTAAAAACAATTGAAGGCAAGGTAAGAGAAGGTAAATAAATTCTGGCTTGGGACCCACCCAATGGGGTGCTAAACAGATGGTTGAGATGTCTGTTATACAGTTGTTGGATGGATGTATCTGAGAGGAGCTAGGAAAGAATAGAAAAGGAAAAAGAATTTCCATAAAGCCTTTGTGGGAGTGTGTGAAGTGGTGGAGCTTTTTGAAAGATTTGGGAGAAGACAGTGAGATTTTGGGAGAAGGGGTGTTGGAGTTTATAGTGTAGCAATGGCTGTAGTGTTGACATTGAACATCAGGCATCTCTAGCCTCAAAATGTGTTTTGGCTACTATCAAAGGAGAACTCTAGGCTTTTATAATCTGTTTTGCTCTGTTCTCTTATCCTTCTCTCCTTTCTGATTGCCCCCACCAAAACCCAAACAGTTTGTTATGCAGATTTATTTACTTCACCCTCTGCTTTCCAGGCCAGAGCTATCTTCCTGTATCCAAACCCCATGAAGTTTCTAGAAGAATCATAGGTCTCATTTCATAGATTTTACTCTGTTTAGAAAGCAGTGTTGGCTGAGAAGTAAAACATACACATCTTGGATGGGCCTAAATTGACCCTGTTAAGAGGGCCTGAAAGTTTTACAGAAAAAATCACTTTAGCCTAACTATCGTATGTTTTTTTTCCTCATAACAAAACACAAAAATCTGCAGTCATGTAAGTGTTTTTGGTTTAAAAAAAAAGGGGGGGGGCTGTTAACCTGAGATGTTATTAAGAGGGATTTTTAAAAAAGCAAATACTCATGCTATATATTATAATAATAAATGATCCCCTAGTTGTTTTGTATTTTGAGGTGCTGGGGATGGCACCTAGGTTCTCATGGGTACTAGGCAATTAATTGTTCTGCTACTGAGCTACCCCATCAGCTCAGTTAGTAATGATTTCAAATAAGCAAGTATCCTAGATTCTATTTTTAAAATATGTTCTTCCCAGAGCAGAGATTCTGTTTTGC